CCTGTGGCAGGTGGGGGCAGCTGGTTGGGATCTCCTCATCAGGTCCCACCCAAGGCTGACCCTGGGTGGAAACCAATCAGGAGGGGGTTTCTTGCCTGGTTGTGGACACTATCCATATGCCAACCCTCATTCAGAGCTTGGGGTTTAAACCCCAGCACTTCACTGGGACACATCCCCACTGACCTCCCATATTGTGGTCCTGCCACACTGGTGGCCTCAGGAGCCTTTGGGACCATGGAGGGTTCCCCTGGGAGACTGGGGGAATAGTGGGGCCACTGGCAAGAGGGTGGCAGAGGGGACAGTGCCACAGACTGGATGGGTGTACACACCTCGAGGGGAGCAGGACAAGAAGCTTGTGGACAGCAGAAAAACAGGGAACAGGAAAATATATCTTCTGAAACTAAATAGCATCATGTCTTGAGCAATTCCAACCCAAAGGAGAGGTTTTCTCCTGACATGCAGGGTCTCAGGGGTTTGCACCTGGAGCCAGAAAGCCTTTGGGCCAGATGTAGGAAGTGGGACTGGTTCTGGGTGTAGCTCCCAGCGTGTATTTAGGGTTTGGCCACATGTGTGCTTAGACACGTGCTGCTCAGTTCCTAAGTACAATCTAGTGCCTCAAGCCCAGCTCTTCCTTCTGCAAACCTGGGCCTCAGCATGTTTCAGAGGTTATTTCTTTTAAACAGGCAAATATCAAATAGAGTTACAGTAAATGTTGGGGGGGTTAAAATTAAACTAAGATAGCTGGGAAAAAACCTGAAATTCTGGATGCTCAAGGCCCTTCAGTCAGTGTAAAAGCCAATGTAAAGAAAAAAATTCTCACAGTTTAACTGAGGAGCTATCTATTCGGAAACATGCAAGTGCCACCTCTCCCTGGGAGCCTCCAGTCCCCAGAATACGACTTAAACACACACTAAAAATGTAACTAAGACAAAGCAGGTCCCTAAACAGGCACAAACCGGCCCCAGAGCAGCAGCGCCTCCCCGCAGGACCAGCACTGCAGCTCCCGTGGCCGGCAGCCCCCTCCAGTGGCAGGTTGCTGGTGGGTTCTCTCAGTGCCCCCCCGAGCCCCCACCCCACAGGAGCACTTGACCTTGGGGTGACATCCAAACGGTGCATAATTACTGCAGACATTTGGTGCATAAATAAAACCTTAGAAAATACTTGAAACTGCAGCTTTGCCCGGGCTTAGACTCATCCCTGTACTTATACACCCCCATGTTTGTGTCCAAGTGTTACTCAAGGCACACTGAGAGGTAAGGAGCTGGGACCCTGCCCCTCTGCCCAGACCCCCCTGCAGTGCTGGGGCAGCTCTGGAGTCCTCAGCACAGCAGAGCCAGGGAGCTGCTGGAGCGGGGCCAGAGGCGGCCCAG